CAACATGTGACGTCGCCTCTACCAATGACGTCAGTGCATCCAGCTCGCCGTTCTGCCTGTGTCATCTTCCATGTATGACCCACTCCCTGCCTTCTGGCTGCCTGGCGATTGGAGGGAGTGGTGGCACCGGCTTGTCATCTCCCCCCTGCTCCCCGTTTGTGTCTCAGATTTAACTGTATTTGACTCTCCCTGCCGGCCCCTGGAGGATGGGCTCCCCCTTTGAGTCTGGTCCCTCCCAAGGTTTCTTCCTTCTAGGGAGTTTTTCCTTGCCACTGTCACCTATGGCTTACTCACTGGGGGCTTTGTGTGGGGATGCTGTAAAGCGCTTTGGGACAATGTCATGTTGTGATAATGCGCTATACAAAAATAAATTTGTTGTTGTTGATTTGATTTGATTATTGTGGCCTAGCTATCCAATCAGCTCTTGGCGGAGAGGGTCTCAAGTTGAGGGCATCTTCCCTGAAGTTCTGCATTGTGACACAACCAGACATTTTTTTCTCATCCAGACCAATGAAATAAGATTTTCACAGACTAAGACATGTCACATGGCGCACCTAAAAAACATCATATAGTTTCCATTTAAGTGTCTAAATTATTAATATCTCAAATAGGAATTAAAGATGTTTGTTTTTTGCATTTGTGCTTAGTATAAATATTAACTGTGGTTGCGCCATCTAACATTTCAAGCTTATTTCAAAGCACAAATGCTTATTCACCTGAAGAAATGTCCTTAATATCAAGTTTATACATTGTTTTAAAAACTAGAGATTTATCACATTACAGCATTTTCATGGTTTTTTCATGGGTTGTACCAACTGACAGGGAAAATGCAAGTCTAACCATGAGCTGAAAATGACACTCTCAGTATTTGAGTTGGATCTAGTGCCTTTTTCACTGCACTATGAAGATCGCTTGGGGGTTTCTTTATGACGTTATATCCAGTCCACTGTTTTCTAAAACAACTTTTAAATAAAAGCCCACTCTTCCTAGTTGTGCCGCCTGACATTTGAAGTAATGTAAATTTGCAGTTGTTCCATTATTTTAATGGTTTTAAAACCACAGTGTTTTGCGACTTGAGTATAAAGGTTCTAGGCATAGCCACCAATTTTAATAGTCTTCTTACTCTGCTCATTTCTTCATATGGTTGCACTACCTGATATTTTTGAATTTTGAGATAAAAAAAAAAAACGTTTTGACATTTTTCTATGTATTGAAAATATTTCCAAATTAAAACAGGTTTCATACAATAATGTTAGGCAGGCTAATTATTAAAAGGACTCTGACACAAAAATCCTCACATCATGATACATCTCTCCATGATACATCTCTCCAATCTGGATGCTAATATCCAATACAACTAGGCCAGCTCTCTTTAGAACACCCTAAGCAGCCCAAAATGCAGTGAACATAAAATCCATATGCACTGCTAATGAACATACTAGATACACTCATCACTGGGGTGGCTCAAGGCTGCGAAAGTATCCGCAAACCAGACTCAGGGAGGAAGAATCATCAGCTGACGCATGTCTGTGTTTACACTGCCGTCAGTGATGGGAGGCCAGGCGTCTCCCAACACCCTTTCATTCCATCCTCAATCCGACCCACTTTCCCCAAACCACCGCGCCCAGAAAACTGCCCGCTTCGTGGACAAACCGGGCTTCAAATCATAGCAGCATTTGATATTTATGGCCGATAGATATGGCCGTTTAGCCTAGAGATCACTGGGACGAGAGGTGCAAACAGAGGTCGGGCTTTGGGATAAGCCGTAATCTTGGGATGAGAGCCGACGGCACTGCAGGAGGAGGAAGAGGAGGAGGAGGGTACTTACACGGAGTTGAAGAGATAAGCCCGGCCTTGGCTGCCTTGGAAGGACTGGAAGAGGGAATAAAAGTCATGTGAGATTGTAGACTGTGGAACAGCATAATAAATGCCCCCCCAGCTTTTACAGACATCGATCTTTAAGCACAAAAAAAGAACGAACCTTTTATATCCCAATTATATTGCAGTGACCTCCAGCCATCACCTAATAATGCTGTAAGAAAATCCACAAGCCTCTCATCCTCAGAGCGGAACAATCAAACGTATGGATCGGATGCTATTCTCAGCTCCCTAATGTGCAGGCTTGCGTTCCCCACCCGCTTCCCGCTCGATTTCGGCAGGCTCCTCATTTCCAATATGTTTGCGCGGCAGAGCTCACGCCGCCCCCCCCCCGCACGCTGACCGCTCATCCATCCGCACGACATCTGCCGGTCAAACGGGCACCCTTCAACCGCGAGCCATTCTCCACGTAGGACGGTGGCAGATGGGACTGCGGGAGGCATACGGGGGGCAAAGGCATCCCTCTGAAACAGATGGTGTGGGAGCCATGGGCATCGTATGGGGGGGGGGGGAACCTGCTGGTGCTTAAAATTGGCCAGGTCTCCACATTTTGATTATTTCAGGAGGCTGCCCGGTCATTTGGGTGAATATCTCTGGGCTGCTATGAGAATCCAAACATCAATTGGGGGGGAGGTTCATATTTTGCATTGTGATTCTGCTACCGACAACAAATCCTGCATCCTCAAGCGAGGATGTCATACACAAGGTGAAATATTTGTATTAAATATTTCAACAGATACAATGCAGGGCAACAACCTGCTACCAAACCACCATTATCCAGCTGTATCCACGTTAGTACTGATGTTCTACAATCTGAACAAAACTAAACAACTGCACAATGAGGGCACCTTAAGACAAACGTTTGCATGGTTGAAAAGCTTCTCATTTCTGCATGGGTCAGAGCAACCCTTCCCCTGAATGAGCTGCGATTCATATCCATTCCTGAAGCTTTAGACGCATTTCCTGCAGCGCAGAGCGTGACCGATCAAGTTTTTTTTTTTTTTTTTCCTTCTCCCCCATTTTTATAGCTGACAGAAGGAAAACAGGATCGAGCATGCGAGGGCTGGCTGGGGGTGTGTGAAAGGCGGGGGGGGGGGGGGCTTGTCCAAGGGTTTTTATGGAAACTTGTGATGACTCATAGAGCACTTTTTGGACTTGGGTATGACCTTTGATGGATGCATTCTGAATGAGCCTGGACACAAACGCAGTGCGCAGTGTTTTCAGCAAACCCTCCCAGCAGAGGTGCTTCTAACGGGCTCCGCCGACCCGCTGCAGCACAGGTGCAGTCAGGGACCCATAAATAGTGGCGCAGGGTCACGTGCTCGGCCCCCCAGCACGGCCTTCTCCCGCCCCACTGGACGGTACGAGAGCAGATTCCTGCCTGATGCAGTGTGAGGCATGTCAGAGTGCAGAAGCGGGCAGGTGCTGTGGCCAAGCACACAGGTTCACCACACACACCCACTGGAATAGATTCACTGCGTGAGGCATGATGAGCCAGCACCTCGCACGGGGCCCCGCAGCATCTCTGCAGGGCAGCGGCTGCGCAGGCTTGCAGTCCCACTGCAGCACAGGTGCTCTCTGACCAGTTATTTGCTATCTGATCACTTCGCAGTCGCATACGGAGCTGCGTTTTGGATCACATGAACTCCCACGGCGGATTTTCAGCACAATCTTCACCTGTCATTCCTACAGTAACACGAGAGGCGGCCTCTCTCAGCCCAGGCCGGGGCGCCGAGGGTCACTGCACCCATCAGCCTCGTCAGACACCGGACTGTGATCCAGAATCAGAACCAGCTTTATTCTCCATCTACAGCCCGAGTGCAAGGAATTTGTTTGGGCGTAATTGGTCACATCACAGTAGAATACATCACAAAACAACATAAGAGGAATAACAGAGCAATGAGCAAATCAGCAGGGAGTATATATTGTGTTAATATTAATAAAAAACTATTACCAGGGTGTTCCACATCATGGTTGTCCAATAGGAATGCTCTTTACCTAAACTCTTATTGGACAATCATGACTTCTGGCTTAAGCTGACCCAGCTAACTGAAGTCCTACTTTGTGGAACACCTGCCCCCCCCCCAGTCTCATGTAAACAGCAGACTCAAACACAGGGGGCTGACGACACTACAAAGGGAAGCTGATCCCTCATTCCTGGCTGATTATTGGACACTCAGCCTGTCCTTTGTACTAGTGGTGGAATAATACAAATATGGACAACGACTGGGGGAGGGGGGGGGGGGGGGGGGGGG